CACCCACGTTTTCTGCAAATGACTGACTAGAATTAGACTTGAACTGAAATTTTTACCAATTTACGAAAAAAGTCAGAAATGGAGTTACTATGAAAGTAATGAACTTCTAAAGCAGTTTCAAGCACTCTGTTCAGCTCGTACTATTCCTAACAACTTTTAAGATACATTTCGACCATATGGCTGAAATGGACTTTAGATCTAAGAAACTGGATTCAGCATCCCAAGAAGTCCTTTCTCATCCCAGATTCCCAGATTGAGCCAGAGTTATTCTACCCAAGTGAAAGGCATGTGCACGGTCAGCCATTAATATTCTTACACACACAGTTTTCAACACGTAAATGTCTAAGTGAACTTACCTTATATTTATCCCGGTTACATCACACAAAATCATCAAAAAGGTCTCAATATAATGGGTAAAGACGTCATGTTTCTTGAACCTGTATTTACCACCGATGATAGATTCAAAGTGTTCCTTTGCAGTCTATTAAAAAAGGCAAAACAAATAAAGCCATGGCACACCAGCTCAAGCAGAAGGACTGGTTTATGCTCATATGATCATTTGTTTCACAGGCTTCATGGAAAGTAAAAGTAGTAATCACAAGGCTGAGTGAGATAACAGGGGATTTTTTGCAGAAAAAGATGACAGCTAAAAAGAGTCAAGCTGCTGTATGATCACCCAGATTTCCAGGTACTACTGCAAAATAAGTTTTCCATGGTTAGGTCTGGAGTTTTATCCTCTCTGCCTCATGCTTGAAGATAGCAAAGAAGAGACGAATCTTCTTTTCCTCCAGTAGCACATACCCCATTCAGAGAGCTCTCATTTCCCTTTTTCATAAACCACCTATTCTCAGTAAAAGATGACAAGCAAACAAAAAAATACTTACAAAAGAAAAAAGGAAAAGAAATAAGCACAACCTATTTATCTCAGGCACCACCAGCAGCCTCAGTCCCCCGAGGTCATGAAGCAATGCAGCTTGCCCAGATACAGTTTCTGGTTATGATCACTATCTTACGTCCCCGCAAGGACGTGGAAGCTTTGCGGCACGTATTTCTCATGGGCTGGAAGATGCTTACGTCAGCTCTAACGTCGAAGAAAAATGAGTAAATTGATGCAGCTGGCAGAGAAATTCAGACCATGTGCTGCAAGCTCAAGAGGCAGGACAGGAAAACTCGGCATGGGCAGAACAAAAAACGGCATGAGAGAGACTGTGGTACCACATCCCCCTTTCCAAAGCCGTGTGATGGGCTCAGCAGCCTGCAGTCTACGTGCTGGCACCCAGTATCAGGGCACAGAGGGGGAACCCCCAAGTATTTATCTAGCCGGGTGCTGAGAGGGGTCAGCATTTTGTCAGCCTACACCTACACAAGAACTAGCAGAAGCCCAAGGTGTTATCTAACCCCTAGCATCTCACCCTACCACGCTACTGCCCTAAAAGCCTACAAGTGGTTACTCTCAATCATAGAGGAGATTTCTAGCCTTTGCCCCACAGCTGGGCTTTTATTTGTTGTTTTTATGATGCCAAATTATCGGGAGTAAAGAGAAAAGCATCAGCCAGTCTGCTAAGGGGAACTGTGGGGCTGCTTCTGAAGAGCAAGGCTGGGTTACACACCAACCCCGAGGGACTTTCTGCAGAAAAACACGAGCCTCCAGAGGCCCCATCCCTTGTGGGCAGAGACAAGCGAGCGCCACAATTAAACTAATTCACTCCTTGATAATACTTTCATACAACAGACCACAGTGCAGCTGAGAGCAGACGCGGCTCTCCATAAGCTCTGTGCCCCAACATGTTCCCAAACCACAGCGTGAAGCTAACAGTACTCTCAATTCCATACTAACGCTTGTGTTGGGCGCTTAAATAAAGCATTAAGTCTTTCTGCACAACCCAGGTACACCGAGAAATCACGTCACTAATAGCGTTCTACCTGTGTTCTCGCCAGGATTCAGGTTTTATCTCAGCTTGATCTTTCAGGTCAGTTGCTACAGCACGGGACTGCTTCTCCAATTCTGTCATTATTTCAACACCATCACATGAGCCGTCTGCCAGCCAAGAATTTGTTTTTCCCGTTTATGACGAACGGCATTTCCTTAAAACCATCTTTCTGAGAAAAAGATCTCCTTAACGCGTCCTCATACCCGCCCTTTGCAAACAGCAGCAACCGCACAGCGGTGCGAGCAGCTCCGAGAAGCCGAGCCGCTCACCTGCAGGGGACGGCTCCGCTGCCCCTCCCGCTCCGCAGCGCCTCAGGTGCCGGCAGGTGCCGCCCGCCCAGGACCCCCGACCCCCCCGCGCCGGGCTTACCTGCGGGGCGCCGGCAGCCTCCCGCCCGTCCTCCCGCCCGCTCTCAGCCGGCGCCGCGGCCGCTCGGCCCGCAGCGGGAAGCCCCGGGGGCGGGCGGGGCGCGGGGCGGGCTCCGGCCGCGGTTTCTATTTCGCTTTACGGGAAGGCGGGAGTCAGCGCCGCCCCGCCGGGTCGCGCCGCCGGAGCTCGGAAAAGCGGCGTGGTGTTTTCCGCACCCCACGCAGCGGCGGAGCGCGGCCCGGGGAGCTGTGTCTCGTCCCGCCGGCGGCGCTGCGAGCCCTTCCACAGCGGGTCGCGGCCCCACGCGACCCAGAGCGCTGCCGCCCTTCGGTACGCGAGCACGATGTAAGCGTTAGCTAAATAAAAGTTGAGCTGGAAGTCTGGTGGAATTTAGGACAACAATGTGTAGGATTTGATGTCGGCATTCGGATTAAAATGCTCCGGGTGCCGGTATTGTTAGCTTGGCAGTTGTTGCTGCGCTTCTCGTCTCAGCGGCGGTAACTCCGGCGGGGCTGTGCTGACCCGCGGCCACTGCCGGTGTTTCATCGCGGAGGGAACGGCGCCTCTGGTCACCGCAGCCGACCCTGCACCACGAGCAGCCGTGGGGCGGAACCGCCTCGCCATCCCAGGAGACAAGCACCGCGTTTTCTGTCTATTATCTGCAGTATAAAGGACTGTTTGCGTCCATTGCAAAGCTTTCATTACGAATGTTTGGGATAGGCTCCCCTCAGGGCTTCAGTGTTGGGGTATGTGTGGCTTCTTTTCTGTTCCTTACCCAGACACACTGAGCGCCCTGTCTGAAGGTCACAGGTACATCCCCTGCTATTCAGACCAGTTCAAAGTATGACACAAGTGGTGTTCCGGAGTGCACAGGGGCCACGATGCACTCAGCACCAGGACAGAGTATGCAGAACCGTGCCAGCAGCACTGACCTCTGTGTTCTCCTCCAAAACGCACAGGTGATAAATACTTTGGCAAACCTCCACTAAGAAATACGTAGTACCTTCTGTGTCAAGTTTGAACTTGTTCAGTTGTGCTATTTGGTGTGTTTGCTGAAAAATGCCTGTGAAAATGTGCAAGAAAGTTGAAGATGATGAACTAAAAATGGAGGAAGGCAAAATGGAGGAAAGTTAGGACAAGGAAGGTTGTATGAGAGCTAAAAGGGAGAGAGGCCTTTAGAGAAGAACTAGCAGCAGCTCGAAGGAGGGAGGTTATGGGATAAAGTGTACCCTCAACCAGTTTGCGGATGACACCAAGCTGTGTAATGCAGTCAACAAACCCGAGGGATGGGATGTCATCCAGAGGGACCTAGACAGGCTGCTCAGTGGGTTCAGGAGAACCTCATGAGGTTCAGCAAAGCCAAGTGCAAGGTGTTACACCTGGGTCAAGCCAACCCCACTATCAGTACAGGCTGAGGGAAATAAGGATAGAATACAGCCCTGCTGAAAAGGACCTGGGGGTACTGGTGGACAGCATATGAGCATGAGCCCTTGCAGCCCTGTAAGGCAACTGTATCCTGGGCTGCATCAAAAGAAATGTGCTAAGCAGGGCAAGGGAGGTGATCCTGCCTCTTTCCTCTGTAGTGTGAGACCTCACCTGGAGTACTACATGCAGTTGTGGAGTCCTCAGTACAGGAGAGGAGTGGACCTGTTGGAGTGCATCCTGAGGAGGGCCACAAAAATGATGCCAGAGATGGAACACTTCTCCAACAAGGACAGGCTGGGAGAACTGTTGCTGTGCAGGCTGAAGAAGAGAAGGCTCCAGGGGATAGACTCTTTAGTGGGAGTATGTCAGGGTAGGATGGGGGAAATGGTTTCAAACTAAAAGAAGGGAGATTTATATTGGATATAGGGAAAAAAGTTTTTTACACTAAGAGTGGTGAGGCACTGGCATAGGTTGCCCAGGCTGTTGAGCAACCTGATGCAGCTGTGGGTGTCCCTGTTCATTGCAGGGAAGTTGGACCAGATGACCTTTAAGGATCCCTTCCACCTCAAATGATTCTAGGTTAAGGCTGAGTAACACATCCTTCATGCACAGCAGCTAGCACACTGGTTTTCCTCCAGGAACATGCCTGCGTTGTTAGTTTTCCTAAACCCACAATTAATTTTAATGAAACCATTTTCTTTTTTTAGACCAGCTTCAAAGGAGGAAAGAGGAGGAGTTTCTCCCACCCCACATCAATGAATTTGGGAAGGCCGTGCTGTAGGATTCCCGGGGAAGCTCGTGTACTCGTTATGGACACGTGGAGGAAACCAAAGTTCACGCTCTGTGAAATAGGGTATTAATTGAAAGGCAGTGTTTTACAAGCAGTCTGCCCTCCCTCTTCTGGGTCACCCAGGGATACAGAATCAGGGTAAGTTACACAACTGTAGTCCCCACAGGACACATACAAGAGTGCAGCTCCCCAAGGAGCGCTGCTAAGCTAACCTCACCCCTAACCTATGCAGCCAGTGTGCCCACAGGTCTTATGTACGTGGCTGCTCGGACGCGTTTTATTTCTCCTTTTTAATTAATCGCTCAGATGAAAGCTACGCTTTCAGGCTCTCCACAGGCTCTCCGCGCCCACCTTTCCCTCCCCCCAGGCCGACAGGACTCCTGCTTAGAGACGCGCGGAGGCGCCGGGCTGAGCCCCGCCGGCCGCCGTAGACCGTGCGCCGTGCGCGTGCGCGATGCCGGCAGGCGGCGCGGGACGGCCGGGTGATGGCGCAGCGCGCGGGAGGGCGGGCTCTGTGTCTGCTGCGGGGCCGCCTGCTGCCCCCCGGCCCGGCGGCCGCCCGCCTCGGCTCCTCGGGGCCCGCGCTGCAGCGGGCGGGCGGCGCCGAGGAGGCAGGTGAGGCTCCCCGCTCGCCTCGCGCCGTCGTGTCGTGTCTCCTCTCGGGGGGCTGGGGGAGGGGCGGTGACGCTCCGGGAGAGGCCGCGGGGCGTCCGCGGGTCGCGGTGTCCCGGCCGAGGGGGTCGGCGTGTGACCTCCCGGCTCGCAGTGCAGCCTGGAGAGCGGGGCCCGCCGCCTGGCCTGGGCGTACTGCGTGCGCGGAGGCCGGAGGTGGGTTAAGCGGAGATGTCCGTCCCGCTAAACGACCCGGGGGTTTGGCTGCGCCTTCGTTACGAGGCAGGGAGCGGTGAGGGCTGAGCGCTGTGCCGTGGCCGTGCCGTGCGGCTCGGTCCCTGCAGCCGGCCTGTGCCCGTGCGCCTGGGTCGGAGCTGGAAAGGCCTCAGGCGGCCACGTGTATGCTCGTGTTTCTGAGCCTGAGAGGCTTTCTGAAGCCTAGCGAGCTGGGAAGGCCGGGCTGTAGTATGGCACAGAAAAAACACAGTTCTCTGCTGTTTGTGTCCCTGCATTAACAAACACACAGCAAGTTGGGTGAAGGAGCACGTCCAGATTTCAGTTAATCCTCTTGTTTTGGTGTATACATTAGGTCATTTGTCTCACCTGGTTTGCTCCATGCTGTGTGAACAGGTATGTCAGCATCACGGAGGGCAGCGTTAGGGTGCATTGAGCACTGCTGGGGTCCAGCAGCAGTGCAGGTGAGCACTGGTTTGGTGACTGCAAGACTATGGCACAAACTGAAACATTGTACAGGGGAAGAAAGAGAGCGATGAAGACTGCATCTCAAGCATTTAAAATGAATGTATTCATCTGAGGACTGTCTACTGTTGATACTCAGCCACTTTTGCCTCTTCAGTATTTTGATGAGCAGTGCTACATACAACTAAGCTGTGGAAACAGCTGCTTTGTGTTTACGAGCTTGTGTGAAAGGCAGAAAGAAACTGTAAAACTTCTTTTTTTTAAATAAGTATAAATGCTAAAAGGTTTGGTTAGACTAAGATTTTCTTGAATCCACAAAGTCAGAAAGAAAGCTCCCTATTGAATCTTTGTAGCATGTGGTAACCTCAGGGAAATAGCTGCATGCTGTCTGTCTTCCCAGTCTTGAATTTTGAATGGTAGTGTGAGCAGGGAGCCTCCGACATGTAACGTGATGTGGTCATTTGATTAGTTTGAGTTGTGCAGGTTTGCGATTATAATTCAGGTTTGGGATGTGTTTTCTGTGTTTCTGGATATTCCAGCATGTCTTATTTCCATGTTGATTTTGTTGACTGTCAGCAGCAGTAGTATAGATTGCCAGTAGTGTGGCAAGGTGTGACTGATCTGCAGGTTATTTGAAGTGAGCTGATGAAAGTATAGTACAGAAAGAAAATTTTGTGTAGGAGTTTGCTGTAAAGGAAGGTGATGAGTTGTAAAAATAACCAAGCGTAGAATTGTTCCGAAGGTGAAAGTGCTGTTTTTGTGGTGGCAAAGAGGCATTATTTTTCCAGAGCAGCTTGCTAACAGTGTAGCTCTGTCTGGTGCCATTGCTGGGTACCTTGTTGCTGGACTCACGTGCTGAGTTTCTAATGGTGAGTAGCAGATCAGAGAAAACCAAAGATTCCTCATATCATCAAATGTCCTGTGGTATCGAGGAAGGTCAATATTGTTTCCATCCTACATTTTCTATTCTGTGTTCTTAGAAAATGTATACATCTGTGAGAGAAATACACTTCTGAATGTATTTCATTCTCTCTGAAGTTTTTGTTTTGCTGTGATCCTCCCAGGGTGCAAGAGCAAACCCAGAGGAGAGAACAGAAATCAATTTTACATCTTTGTGTAGAAGGAAAACTTGATGCTTGTTTCTTCTTACAGATGCTGAAGTCAATAGCAGGAAGAAGACATTCACTGAGGTTCAAACAGAACGATTGGAACAGGCAGATCGGAGTGTTTTAATTAAGTGTCCATCAAAACTTAATGAAAAAAAATTACTGCAGTATTTATCCACGCATGGAAAAATTGACAATTACTTCTTTTTTGAGAATCGTGTAAGTAGCTGACAACACAAACTAAAATCTAGGCTTAGATGAAAAGAAACACAATCATTTAGTCAAGCCTTCATGCATCTAAGTTATGGATATTATGCACAATATATTCAACCAGTTTTTGTCTTTATTATTTTTTACAAGATGTTGCACAACAAATTTGTGTGTTTAAATTACCTAAGCAATGCCTGTTCTTAAGTGAATCTTGCAACCTGTTTTTATGCCAAATCTTTGAAATTTTAATGTCGCACTGCTGATTGTCTGAAAAATAGAGCTAACCCTTTGTTATGCTTCTTTTTGAAGGTAGATGTTTAGTGCTTACTATCAAGAATAACATAGCTTAAATTTTTTGACCTTTTATATAAAATTGTCTTGGATGTGGAAAGTATTAACGTACAGAAGCTGTCATTCAGCTTCAGGACTCTTACTAAGATGCCACGGTATTCACAGGCAGATCTGAATAATGTGAGTGCAATCAGTTCAATGCTCATATGCATTTGTCTAACACTGTTTCCATTTTTAATATTTTAGGGTGTTCATGCTTTAATAGAATTTTCTGAGAAGAGCAGTGTAGCCTCACTACAGGCTGTTACTGGAATTCCAAGGGCTGCTGAGCATCATGTTGTCCCATATAAATCCAGACTTTTTACTTTCACACTGAAAAACCCCGGTAGTCAAGCTGCTGAAGAAAGGCCAGTAAACCTCTCTCCTCAGTTTCACATTCCAGTGAATGAGCTTATTCCAAAGCTTTGTTGTGCAGACAGTGTAAGTATATGTTCTCTCAAATGAAAACAAACCTTGTCCATTAGTAACATTTGCAAGTGGTCGTGTGAAGCTTTTAAAGCATTTTTTTTTCCTGTTAAGAAAATAACCCCTGTTAGAATTGTGTCAATGGCTGTCATACACTGAAACAAATAGAAAAAAAATGTCTGATACTTACAATAATTTTGTCTATGGGAAGTAAACTTGTTTGAGTCTAAATTAAAATTTTCTAATTGTGGTGATAGTAGGTGGATGAAAAGATATATCACTAGGCAGAAAATGGGTCGTTATGTTTTTGCAATGTTTATTTTCTTAAATAGATAAGCAGTCAAATGTACATTCTGCTGAATGAGTATCAACTTACAGAAGAAAACATCAAGCTCCGATACCTGGCCTGTTCTCTGGTTCGGGATTTTGCACGCGCGTATTTTCCAGACAGCACCGTAAAGCCATTTGGCTCTTCAGTGAACACCTTTGGCAAATTGGGATGTGATGTGGACATGTTTCTGGACTTCCGTGATATACAGAAGCATCCTACAAAAATGGTAAGATGATGCTGCGCAGCTCCAGGAAGAAAATAATTTGCTGGTTGTGCAGACTTTGTGTGTACTTCCAGGCTGAAGATAACCTTCATCCTCTAAAGCTGATTCAGCAATACCAGACCTTCCAGTCCTGCTGCTTTTTTCTTTTCTGGAGCTGCTGGACTTCACCAATGCTTGGCTGTGATTTTTAGGGTCCACTCTATCCTGATACATAAAAATCTTATGCATGTGTGTGCATGTGCATCATGTGCTGTCAGATTGTTTTTCCTCATATTTAAGTTACTGTAGCAATGCTACAGAGACATTACCTATAAGTGTGTGTGGAGGTGTTGAGACCTGCTGGGGTAATGCTGGTGGATAATGGCAGTTAGCACTGTTCATATTTGCAGTGTCTGTCCAGAGACAATTTATTATGTTAGCATTGTATGGTTTCATTGAGAAGGGAATTGGTTTGGCTTACTATTGGAAGGAACCTGAGGATGTGCTGGGAGTAGGACCTAGGAGTGAAACAGGAACTGAGCCAAATAATAATGCAGATGTTCTTAGTTGTTGTCACACTTTCCATAACGTACTTTGTAATTATTTGATTATCTCATTGATAACACAGCAGTAAGCACCAAGACAAGTGATGCTTACTAAGCAAGTGTAGAGGCTTGAAATTGAAATATGTTCACTTGAATTTGCTGACCAAATTGCAGAATTTCCATCTGTATCTTGAGAAGTTGGATGGTTACACAAGACTGCCAATAAGCAATACTCAGGGAACAGCGTTGCTTTTTTCAGCACACACATTAAATTTAATCTTAACTGTGTCTTCATGGATGCGAGGATGTGGAAATCTGTACCTGTGTATCCCTGTATTGGGATTCAGGCAGCTTCAGATTGTAAGGGTTATTTAGAATGGGTTGTCTTGTATCTTAGTCCTGGTGCATGCAGGCATAAAGAGTGGGAAATGACCAGGCAAGGCATTTTTGAAAGGCTCTTGTCTCTTGCTGTTTTTTTCTATGGATAGTGTAATTGTCCTTTTGAATTGGAGAAGGAAATATGAAAGGAGGTGAGAATTGGGACAGGAAGTAGAGAGATTTGGCTTATAAGTATCCTGTGAAGAAGCTGGCATTCTTCGTGAATTCTGAGTTGGTAATTAAGTGATTCTGGCATTTTGAAAGCTGTTCTCTTCATTTATATAGTAATGTCTTGGGGAAAGCTAGTTCTGTTTTCCTCTTAAAAAAATGACGATGGCCTAAAGCTTTTGGAGATTGAGATTTGCTCAGCTTTTCTGTGTTACTTCTGTTTTGCCTTGTTTTTAATATTTAAAGAAATATCCCTTCAATTCAAAGTTTTCATTCTATTGCAGTGATCGAATATAATGAAAGATGTGTCAGTGGAAAGACAGGATCACTGAGACTTTGTTGGAAGGGTTAAAATCCAAGAACTCTTTATATTTAGTTGCCTCTTGAGTTTTGGGGAAAAATTCTAAGTATAAAATGCCTGTTTTCAAAGCACATATTGTAACTAGCTGACGTTTGGTACTGATGCTCTACAGCAATAAAATCCTTCTTTCATGTCATACTTTCTAAGGAAAACACATACTCTAAAGTCAGTCTTGCAGTAGAAGATGAATTCAGAATCGCAAAACAGTCCTAAGGAAGAAAGGCAGTGGATCATGGTAAATCTTAGGTGTGAAAACATCTTTCCCACAGTTTGACATTTGTTTTAATCCTTTTTATGTGCATATACCAGTTGTTCAGTCAGACTGGTATTAAAAACTGTGTTGAATTGGTAAGCATATGATTTCTTTGAGAACATGTACTTCAGCAGGGCATTAATCCCAGTTCTGAGAAAAATGAGAATACCTAAAATCTATTACTTAATGTGTGAAAGCTGGAAAAGAGATCATCAAATCAGTCATCGTTCTGCAGAAGTCCTGTATTAACACCATGAAAAAGAACATTTGGTTGTTGATGTCATTTATCCTGAGAGGTCAACTTTTTGTTTGTGGTTTTGAAAAACTTGCAAATCAAGAAGGGAGGCAAGTGTAATCAAAGCAGCCCGTTTTTAAACAATTTTTCTCTTCTGTTGTTGTTTTTTTTTTTTAAATTTTGAAGTGATGGCATGCCTAGATATCACGGAGTATTAGAGAACGCTTAATAAATTCAGCTTAAATTGAATGATTCACGTCACTGCAGTCCTATTTTGTAAGACCAGAAATTCTCACTTTAACATCCCTGTGCTTGAGATCTAAAATAGTTTTGAAATCAAAGTGTAGAAAAAGGAGATTTTAATTGACATAATGAATGATGTCATTCTAATGACAGATTTCCTAGACCATAGAACTTTGCTTAGTTTTTTTATTTTTAATTAGCATTTCTTTACATGTTCTAAGATGCCTCAGATCACAAGGACAACTAATTCACAGTTGCTCTCCCAATATTTAGCCTTACTGGAGATTTTTCAGTCCACGTCATCAGACTTCAGTAAATAGTTCCCTTACCAAGATCAGATTATCAGTGCAGCATTTGTTTTCAACTTCTGGTAGTTTGGGAGATCAGTGAATGACTTAAAGCAGAGTTCTGTGAAAATTTTAAAGTAACAATAGGTGTTTGAGAGTAACATTTAAGCTACTGAGGGTCATGAATTTACCCCCAAAGTAGTAGTTTGTCCAAACCTGTTTTGAGTGGCGTGGTAAGAACTGATGGAGAATCACAAGTGATGTCAATACTTCATTCTCCCACAAGAGGAACCAAAACTCCATCTGTAAGTTCTACTGACTAAGAGTGTCTGTTTCATCATGAAAAAGTCCATCCAGCTTCTATGATTTTGAGCTGCCGCCCAGGAAGGCACAAAGTGATATTTTTTTGTCACGTAGAGGTACAAACACCAGCGTGCCTGTGAGTCAGCCAAGTCCCTACATTTTTTTTTCCTGTTACCTCCCTCAGAGTTCATGGTTGTAGGCTCCTTTCGCTTTGAGCCAGCACTGCTGTAGCATGAAGCTGCACAGCCCAGTGGGGTTAGGGACCACTCTCCTGATATGCTTACACATATGCTAGCATGAGAACTGTTGGCAGCAAGGAAAGGTTACCTAAGTTGTTATCACGGAGACATAAATTTCAGTTCCTGAAGTGAAACTGTGGGGAGGGTTGTGAGGTCTGTGACTTCTGAACTGTTTTTCCTGTATGCGAGGCATTCTTTGCACTGGCGTGGTGACAACAGAAGTGACCACCTTTACTTGTCTCCTAGATCACTGTGTAATGCTCTTTGTTTTGTGGATTACATTCATTATATGTTTCAGAGGGGAGGATAAGCATCAGATCAGCAAGCAAAATTAGCTGAGGCTTAAAAACTGAGAGTATAAAGAGAACAAATTTTGTAGGTTGTTTTACTGGGATGTAAACTGCACATGCGACAATTCAAAATTCAAAGATCCACAGGGAAATTTATGTCTAATGTCAGAAGGCAGCTGCTCTGGTGTGATTACTTTAAATCTTAAGAAAACTAATCTTCATCTTGAAGCAGTAAGCAACTCGCGTGCTGATTTCTTATTTTATTTTTAAATAAAAAAGCCATTTTCCTTTATACTTGTACTAACTAGTACACTGTACTTTGAGGTTATGAAATAGAATTACTGGTGGTTTGAAATTGGCAATGGTTTGGTTGTGTTTTGTCCCTCCTTCTTTGTAATACCATCTTCAGCTGTCTTGAGAATTCCAGAATGCATTGTTTTAGGTAATGTAGTGGTATTGTACTCTCATCAGAACAACTGACTTCACAGTAAGTTACTCGCTATCAGTGTGGGAAAAATTGAATCACTGAGAAAAGAATTGTACAAGAAAAAGCAGTATGGTTTAACTTTTTACAACTTCTGCAGACTGCTTTGGAAGATTCACTGTACAAACTACTTTGCAAACTCTTGTAATCTTGCAGAAGTATTCTTAAATTTCTCTTCAGTTCCAGAACTAACAGATTACTTTTTAAAATCTTTTGTTAGAAAAAAGGTCCCTTTGAAATGGAGTATCAGATGAAAAGATTACCATCAGAAAGGTTAGCAACTCAGAAGATTCTTTCTATAATTGGTGATTGTCTTGACAATTTTGGTCCTGGGTATTCAAGTGTACAGAAGATACTCAATGCTCGCTGCCCCCTGGTGAAATTCTCCCATCAACCAACAGGATTCCAGTGCGACCTGTCAGTGAGCAACAGGTAAGACCTGGTTTTAGATGGTTTAGGATGAATACTAAGTTCTGGAAACTTGTCATGAGAAGTGTTCAGCCTACTCAGTTCTGTTTTTTTTATCAAATATGAATGTTGGGTCTGAAAGGGATATTTTTGCCTATTAGAACTTTGTTTCCCAATGTGTTAAATATCTATTTGTCCAATATAGTAAATAATTGCTAGCAAAAACTGAAGGCCTGAAAAACACCCTACCCAATAAGGTTGTCTTGTAAGGAACTGAAAGCAGACATGGTTATTAAGTCATCTGCTCGTGTACATGTATATGCAAAGCCTTGTTTGGATTGCTTTCCAGATTAAGCAGCCGTATCATGATAATCGTAAATATCAGATGATCTGCAGTGATTGGATTTCTAGTTATTTTGGGGTCTGCATCCTTTTTAATGGCAAAATATCTGGAATACTGCATTAAGCAGCCTGAAGTTTTGCTATCATTTGTACCGTTCACAACAGCACCCAGTAGAGGGAGCAGGCATCTCACAAATTGTTCTCTGCATCTTTTTCCTTTTCATCTTGCTCCCATGTTTTTAGGTAATCAGTGGCTGATAGTCAAGCATTTGATTTATTTGTTTTGCTGTCACTTACTTTATTAAGAAATAACCACCTGAATCCAGTATCCATCTGTAACACTAGCATACATGCACATAATTAAAAATAAGTATGTAACCATTTTTGTTTGTTAGGGAATAGTAAAACACAAGTGATTATCTTTTGAAAATTCTTTTCAGCTCACCTTCTTCTACAGATTTTGTGATTTGCACACATCAGATTCAGTCAGGTAGTAGACTGAATTTTCTGAATTGCCGCATGTTCTGTTTCAGAATATACAGGAGTTCTGTGATATTTGCTCAGTATTGTCATAACATTAACATTTTTTTTAATATGTTTAGCCACAGTGAGAGTCAGCATAGGTTTCCTTTTTTTTTTTTTTAATTCTCTGCAAAGGATGGTTTGGTGGGACTGTGTTAGTATTGTTACTTGGAGAAATAAGAAATCTTTATGAACACAAGGAGAACTTCACAGTTGAAACTTTAGAAGTGCAGGTATTAGAAGGTTTTGATGCAGCAGCCATCCCCAATTGCCTTGGTGAATTTTTAGAGGGATTCAGTGTAAGACTGGAAAAAACTCTTGCAGGGTAGTTCAGCAAGCACTTTAAACTAGCTTTGCAAGGAAAGTTTTGCTTTCACATCCTCCTTCCATTTATTATCTGCTCTATATTGCCCTCCCATTTGTACACTATAAGAAAGTTTGTACAACTGTGTGATGAAACAGAGCTGATCCATCTGAAAAGTTTTATCCTTCTAGATTAGTTGTTTTGCAGCAGACCTGGATTTGGATAGTTATAATGAACAACTGTCAACACATATCAACACAGTGGATGTGGTAATGTAGAAATAAGAGTAAGCACCTGGGAGCAAAGCTGCTGCTTTCAGCTGCAATGTCTGCTTGTGTTTGTTTAAAGAATTTGCTGAACAACTTCAAATTTCTTCCAGTCACACCAATAACATTTTTAATACTTCAAAATTGTTTTAGAAAAGATTAAGTGCATTTTGTGCTTTCAGAAACTGAATGACATCCAACTTCAAACATTAGTTGTTGGAAAATCAATAAATTGTTAAGTCTTTAGAGTGAGATTCTAAGATAAGTTCTATTTTTGTATTTTTTGTATTTATTTTTTCCCCCTCTATGTTAGGATAGGGATGTTCTCTAGTACAGTCCAAAGGCAACTGTGGCTAAATTATGTGGTTTTGGCCTCGACTGTGTATAGATCTAACTCCAAATACATAATATTCCTTTTTCTTTTCCACTATCTCATGGAACAAGGAAACAAGAAACAGCACAAGTGCAGTATTATTGTTTACCTTTAACTGTATCCTTTTCATTATTGACAGTTATCAGATACATTATCCTGGGCAACTTCAGACACTTTCATCTGGTTGTTTTGTTTGTTTTTATGAATAAAAGTTATGTGTGGATTTTTGTTTGTGTCTTTGTTTTTATATGGATACCCTCTTCCCTTATAACTGATAATCTAGTGCTGAATAGCCAGCACTGGCATCATAGTAATAATTGCATTATTATTTACATCTTACACCTTTTCTTTTTCTTCCTCAGCATTGCTATAAAATGTTCAGAACTCCTGTATATTTATGGCTGTCTAGATCCCCGTGTAAGAGCCCTGGTGTTCAGTTTACGATGCTGGGCCCGTGTTCATGGACTTACAAACAGCGTGCCTGGTACCTGGATTACAAACTTCTCCTTAACCATGATGATCATGTTTTTTCTGCAAAAGAGATCGCCACCTATCATTCCAACACTAGACCAACTTAAAGAGCTGGCAGGTAAGAGCAGCTGTTTGTGAAAGAGCTTGAGGCATTTCTCACAATTATTTTAACTTTGTAAGGTTAGGAATAAACCCAAGCCATTCCTCTATGCTCTCAAGTAGCAATACGCATTGTCTGTGCCTGATGTTTGAAGGAATGTATAAGTTTCATATGTACTTTTTATAATTTATCCTAAGATGCAAGCTACATCAGTTTTCAGTACAGTGCTTAATTCTGCTCAGAGTGCCTTGGCCAACTTAAAATCATTTATTTTCACAGTGTTCCCACGCAGTTTCTTTTTGTTGTTTATTTTGCAGCAGACTCGTAAGATTTCAAATGTCTCTGCAGGTTTTAAGGATTTTGTGCAGATTGATATATGTGCCAGGGGAAGTTTAGGTTGGATATCAGGAAAACTTCTTTACAGAAAGGGTTGTTAAGCACTGGAATAGGCTTCCGAAGGAGGTGGTTGAGTCACCATCCCTGGATGTGTTTAAAAACCGTTTGGATGTGGTGCTCAGGGACACGATTTAGCAGAGGGTTGTTAGAATTAGGGTAGTATGGTTAGGTTGTTAATGATCTTGAAGGTCTTTTCCAACCTGAGTGATTCTGTGATTCTATGATTCTATGTATTGTTTTAAAGACACCAAATGTACCTGTATTTTCTTCTTACACTATTTGTAACGTCCTTGAGACTATTTAGGGCAATTGCAAATAATTTTTTACCTTAATAAGCAAGTTGTTCTGACTGTTTTAATATCTCAATTTCAGAGTGTGATATCTTCAGCTAATTGAACAAAGCATGGAGAATGACATCCCAAATTCTTGATTCCCTGCTTTTTTCCACAGCATATTGACATGCTTCCTTGAAGGCTTTGAGAAGATCATCTGTTGCTTTAAAATCATTTGGAATGTTTCCATTAGCAGTTACCAACAGACTCTCAAAATAAATCAAGCACTTGTATACACAGAATAATGAAACAGCTATTTATGAAATTTTTACAAGACATTCCTAATAGCTTTTCTGAAAAAGAGGATGGACGCTTGAGTGTAATTGTTGATGCCTTTGTGTAGTTATTAACCTCAGAAAATTTTACTGGTTAAGTGTATTATAAAGCTCTGTATGCAGAGATACCATGTTTGTTGCTTAAACTTCAGAGATATATAGATGTCATACACCTTATTCCTGTAGGTTTTTGAAAATACCATTTCCTCATGCTTCTTTCCCTTAGTCTGTCCAAAGATTTGTTTTTCCTTTTTAAATCTTTAACCGTTTAATTTGAATCTTAACCTTAAAGTTTGTTATGAATTTGTAATTTGCATTACTTAATACAATACATTCACTGAACTCAATCATGTCTTATATCTGAATTTCATTATGTGCAATGGCATTTTATTTTTTCTGTCTTCAAAATATGCTTGCAATTTTTGTTTCAGATGAAAAAGACAAACATGTAATTGGAGGGTATGATTGCTCATTTGTGAGTGACTTGAGCAAGATTAAGCCTACAAAAAATAATGAAACGCTTGGTAGGTAAATCTTCATTAACTTTTCTTTTTCTGAGCATGTTGCAAATAAATGTTTTCTTAATGCTGGTTCGCTTTCTCTCCCTTAGATGAGTTGCTTTGTGACTTCTTTCAATACTTTGGAAACTTTGACTTCAGAAAGAATTCCATAAATCTTCGAAAGGTAAATGAATTTTGATCTCTTATCAGTTAAACTTCTATTGTCTACAGTTTGAGAAACTGCCTATGTTAAACAACTGCTTTCATTTTTAAATATCTATGCAAAGTGCATTCAAATTGGTTGTTTCCAGAAACTGAGTCCTCTGCTTGAAGGAAGAGCTTTCTTCTCAAACCCTGATTGCTTACAGTAACATTCTTAACAGTGCTGTGTCAGTACTTCTGTATGTTGGAAAGCAGAAACTATAATGCAAAGTCTTTATGATTCTTTTGTGACCACCCTGTATACAAAGTGACTATTTAAAAAGCAGGAACTTTTAAATTGTCACAATATTTGTCATGGCAAAAGTTAGTAACAAACACAGCATGCTTAAAAACTTTGCATTTCAAGTTGCGAGTACAAATCCAAACAGTGTCCACATTAAAATTTAAACTAAGTTTTGAAACTTGCTTTTTACGCTTCTGTTTCTTACTGCAGTTACCATCAGCCTTCAGTTACAACTCAGTGAGCATGACAGATAACATGATTATATGCTTACCAAGAGGTCTGCACTGTAATATTGTTTTCTTTATATAATTAAGTTATGCTCTTTGGGGATTTCTGTGTGTGTATATGTATATACAAGTGTAATAGACACGTATATGTAAATGCTATAACTATTAGTACCTGTTTCTGCTGGGCTTCTTGCAGAGTAAGGGGTTTCATTGCTTTGTTGTTGTGTGGTCACTCTTGGTTGTGTTTCATTTCCTACTTGAACGCTACCAGTTTCTGGCACAAAAGTTTTTTTGTTTGTTTTTCTGATATAGATCGATCTAGAAACTAATTAATTAAGCTGGGTAACTATTGTTTGCTACTACGCCTTAAAAGACAAGTTAAAAAATAAAAAAATAATAATTAAAAAACAACACAAAAACAAACCTCCTTGCGCAGATCCTCAACTGACAAGGGAAATGTCTGCATTGTGGATGTTCTGTTTAACTAGCTGTCCTAGCCCTGGAGCAAGGGTATGCAGCATGCATGTGACTGGACTAGCATTAGCTGCTAGGTTCCTGCTAGGGCATGCAGTGGAAGGCTTGTAGAGATCCTGTAATGCAGAGCAAGTCACCTGAGGAGTGCTGATAAGCAATGTGATGGAAGTGTGTATAACTAGCAAACTACATAGTTGACAGTAACTTGTATTTTACTATACTAACTGCACAAAAGTGGACCGTGGTCTAAATAGCTCTGTACTTAAATGACAAACTGAACTGGGGAGAATTTCAGCCAGGGCAGTGATCTTGCTTTATACGAGATCTTAGTGAGCACTGTGAAAGAAATGATTTGAACAGGTTAAGCTCATGAAGACTAGGCTGTGCACATTAATTTGATCTCATGCTGCCCATACACAAACAAAGATAGGAGTAGATTGCAGCAAGTGAAATTTGAGGTTTGTGGAAAAGCAAATGGGAGAATGGCCAAAAAGACAGGGTGAGTTGTTGTACTACATTCTTTGCCTTGAAGGAAACCTAAGTTCAGTGTGGCAAGGAAAGCAACCACAAAGAGGATTTAGAGAACAGGAGTCATACACTCAGATAGGCATTATTAATCAAGTTAATTTTCCTGCCAGTTTTTTTCCCCAGAAAGTGGTCTTCTGGGTCAAAAAAACTCTTAATGTAATCACTTGAGTGATTTATTACTTGCTCAGCATATTATGCATATGCGCAACTTAGTTTTTTTCTTTACACTATCTGCAGGGAAAGGAAGTAAATAAACCTGAGTCGTCTCCTCTTTATATCTGGAATCCTTTTGAACAAGACCTTAATATCAGCAAGAATGTTAATCAGCCACAGCTGGAGAAATTTGTAGCTGTGGCCAGAGAAAGTGCCTGGATTTTACAGAAGGAAGATAAAACTCAGCAAATGATCAATAAGGAGCCCTGGGGACTGGCAGCTGTACTGATACCATTTGGAAAAAGCAATCCAAACGCGATGAAGAGTAGGACAAAGGGAATAGGAAGTGAAACAATCAAAAGCCTCTTGGACTCTTTAAAGTTAAGTGATGCAAACAACGTACAGAAAGCAGTGGGAAAGTGACTTTCAGCACAGAAACACAGTAGCTGCTGTTCTGTTTTAGAAATTGAATGTGACACAGTTTGAAGAATATTGCTTTTAATATTTCTTTTGTGATGAAATGGAGAGTTGGGTGACCTCTGGTTGTCATTGTGATTTTTTTTGCACAGGTCTACTTTCTGTACATCATCTTGTCCTTTACTCTTCAATTTCCCATCTGTTGTGAGCGAGGAGCATTAAAATGCAAATTTCACAGGTACATTTTGGAAGTAGACTTTGGGCACTCTTCAAAAAAGAAAAAAAAAAAGAAAAGAGGAGCATGGAAAAAAGCCACTGGGAGTTGTTTCAGTTAATTCTCTTTGGTTAAGTAAAAGCTCAAGAAGTAACCACCTTTCAGTGAAAGCACATCTTAAAAGAAGATGAATTTTGAACCATTGCTTCCACTGCAGTCACATGCAGGAAGCCAGTAAAACTGAAGTGCTTGTATCTATTTTTGTAATTGTTTTCAATTCATAGAGCTAGAGCTATGACAAAAATAAAGAGGATGGAATTAGATAACAGGGTTTACAGTTTCGTAGGTTATTGCTCTCCAAGGATAGAGCACCTGTTTTGTGTTGGAAAAGTGGGTGTGCTCGTGTTTACCACTTGTTCTCAAACTTCAACCAAATCTTTATTTTTTTGTACACGTAGTGCTTGTTCTGACTCATACTTATCTGCTCATGTTTCTCATTTTGCCTTCAACTTCAATTTAAGCTTGTATTTCAGGTTCCAGCAGGGGACTTTTTTTGGTGCCCTTCTGGTCTTATCAACTCTCCTGAAAGTTGCTGCCTACTGGACAGCACCAAAACCTTCCTCTCACTATCTCTGCTTCTCTCTTCATCCTTACTGGGATTTCAGAGGAAATCCTGTAACATACTTGAGCCCACAGTCCTGTCTTTCTTTTCAGATATTCAGTGGAGTGCTGACTGTCCATGTTTCAGATCAGCTAGGCCAGCAAGAGTCAACTTTTCTCACTGTCTTGAAGAAAGCATTGAGTTCTCTGTGCTTATACCACAAGAAAGTTTTTGGAGGAGTACAGAGAGGGCTGGAAGGAATGAAGACAGAAAGAGAAATGGAAGGAGAGCAGACAAATTACAGATTTTCAGGTAGATTTGTGATTATTCTGCCTGTTTAGTTTGTGCCACTGATGCATTAAAACTAAATGGCAAGCATGATGAGAACGATTACACAGATTGTTATTTTGACTTTTCAAGAAGTACTGTACAAGAATTATTTTAAATCAGAGATTGTCATACAGATGCAATATTCATGTTTATGGTAACTTTCATTTTCAATATTTTTAGATTCTTTAATGCTGTACTGGTATATGGTTTGTTGTGGGCTTTCTTTTTGTTTGCCAGAACTGGTGTTATCGTTTGAGAAGTGTCTCTTTTCCCTGAGATATATTTATTAGAGATCATATAGGAAGTAATGTGTAATTCCAGAGTATTTGTAAAAACACTGCTGGGTAAGGAGTTCAGCAGTTAACAGTCTAAACAGACTTTGAGGGACAGATCAGTGCTATATTAGTTTATTTGAATTTTAAAATAATATTTGTATGTGTCCATTTCACACTGCTAGATGTTTTATCAAAGAATGACTTACAGATTTATTATCTTAGTCACAGGAACTAATTCTTCTATTAACTTTCCTGAGACTTGAAATTCAAACTTAGCTTTCTACTTAAATCTCTGTGCTAGTGTATGAACTCTAACCTTTTTGGAGGCTGGATGAAGTTTACTGTAACTTATTATTGGTGCTAATACAAATCTTTTCATAGCAAGCTTGACATGGATGCAGCAAGCAGTCTGTTGCTAACTTAAACTTTATAGAACCTAGATATGTTTTCTTCTGTTCCCTAAGCAGTAGACTTGAAAGCTTTTTGAAACATTTGAAGATTAGGTGACATTTGAGAACTTGTGAGTTGTCTCTTTCCCTGTTAAATAGAAAAGGTAACAGGGATCCCCACATAGAGATGATGTGGTAGAGAGCCTCTGGCAAGGATTAAGGGGAAGGATAGCAAACAGATTTTGTCGTTGGTTTCTGCTATCAGTCATCCGTCCATGGTGACAGAGATGAGGTATTCCACAAGCAATTAAGAGAAATCTCTGGATCAGTAACTCTCATCCTTCTGGGAGACTTCCCAGATATAAACTGGGAATATTTTAGTACTGCGACAGGCAACTCTGTGAAATTCCTAAAGTACACTGAAGGTAACTTCTTGTCACAAGTGCTTAGCCAGCTAGGAAAGGTGCCCTTCTAGAACTGTCTTTTGAGCATGAGGTCTTGTGGGAGGTGTGATGGTAGGTGGCTGTTTTAGCCGCAGCGATCATTAAATAGCTGAGTTCAAAGGAGGTCAGCAGAGTTACCACCATGGATCTTAAGCGAGCAAACTTTAAGCTGCTCAGAGAGCTAGTTAGCAGTATCCCCTGGCAATCTGCTTTAGAGAGTTCAGGAGCTCTATGAGAGCTGCTCACTTCTTAAGAACCGCCTTTTAAAAACATGGGAGCAAGCAATCCCATTGTGTCAAGCAAATAGAAGAGAATATCAGCTTTGCTGAACAGGGAACTCCTTTTGGAACATGGGCAGAAAAATAACCTATGATCTCTGGAAGCAAGGTCAGGGAGATTAAAAGAGCTACAGTTCACAGTTGTAGGGAGAAAATAAGAGAAGCCAAAGCTCAACTCCGGTTGACACTGGCCATTGTGTCAGCAAAAAAGGATTTTTTAAGTATGTCAGCAGCAAGAGGAGATCTAAGGAAAACGTTGGACTGATACTTGATGAAGATGGTTACCTAACAAATTGGAATGAGGAAAAAGCAGAAACATCTAATGCACTTTTTGCCCTAGCTTTTAATATTAATGATAGTTCTTGGGTTGCTGGTCCTGTGAGTTGGAGGGACGTGACTCATGACTAAGGGAGCATGATCTGTGGTCACCGTAAGTGTAAGAGAATAGTTGCATCAGCACAGTGTTCATAGTTTGTAGGACCTGACAGGGTTCACTTCAGAGCAAAGGACCTCTCAAGAATTTACTGAAGGTTTTATATATCTGGGCAGTAGGTGTATCAACAGCAAACTTATTGAGAATGCTGAATTGGAAGGTGCTGCTGGCTCTCTGGAGGGATGAGAGGCCTGAACTAGACACATTAGAACTGAGCACTGGGCAACCAACCGTCAACAGCGTGATGTTCTACAAAGGAAAATGCTGGATTCTGCAGCTAGTACAGAGCAATGCCGGACTCAGGTACACGTGGAGACGGGTGGCTGGAGAGCAGCTCAGCAGGAGGAGCCCAGGGATGCTGGTGACAGCAGGCTCAGCGTGAGCCAGCAGCGCCCCCTGGTAGTCAAGGAAGTAAATGTATTTTTGGGATTCATCCCACACAGCATAGCCAGCCAGCCAAAGGAGGTAACTCTCTCACTATATTTAGTGTTGGTGAAGCCTCAGCTGAAATACTGCGTGCAATTCTGGGCTCTATGGTGTTAAAACCACATTAAGGTGCTTTGAGAAAAAGGCACCAAAGGTGGTGACAGGGCTGGAAGAGATGTCCTGTGTGGAGGGGCTGAGACTGATTTTCTTAGCAAAGAGGAGGCCAAGAGCTGTGCTTCTGGGAACCTATGGCATTAGGAAAATTCCATTACCCTGAGCAAGGTCAAAGACTGGAACAGCCTTCCTTTCCTAGCAAGGTGGCTGATGCCCTGTGCTTGTCTCTGTTGAAGAGACATGATGTGGATAATACTTTTAATATGCTTTAACGTTTGGTTAGCCCTGATGTGGTCAGATGGCTGAATGCTATGGTCTTTGTAGGTCCCTTCCAACTGAATTCTGTTGCAGTGCAATACTAAGAGAATGGCATAACAGAGACAGAAGCATACAGCCCATCTGTGATAGTGTATACCGACTTGCATTATATTCACACTGGTTTGATGTCACGTAGAAAGACTGTAACAATTTTGACACTTAGACATAAGATGCTTGTAGTCAAACACCAATAAACTTTGTATTTTGTTTATACAGTTGAATGACTCTGAAACATGACTTTGGGTCAAAATGGTTTATTTGTAAATGTACATAGGCATTCAAGCTGCTTAGAATTCCTTAAAAGGCAGGGCAAAATGTGGTTGCTATATATGCAGAGCCTTTCAGCATCACGTTTCTGTTTAGACTGTCTGTCTCTTCTGGGAATAGTTCTGAACAATTGTCCTGGCTACGGTCCGACTTCTGAATAGAAAAGCTAGAACTCCAAAGCATTGCTGCAGCAATGAAAGTGCACAGGTGCTTGTTTCAGGTACCTGCAGGTTCAGGGCGCTGGAGGCCAGCTGCTGAGCAAAGCCTCCAGGAACAGTTCTCATTGACAATGTGAATCAGCCTGTCAGCTTCCTTGGAAGAAGCTGAGGGCAGGGTGTGGAGGCAGCTGGTCAGCTTCTGCCAGACACAGCTTGCAGTTGAGGGAAGAGCCATGAAGCCACCTGTGAGAAGAGGACCATGCCTTAAGGGGGTGTATGTAGCAAATCAAGAGTATGATGTGATTATAATTTCCTGAGGGCAGCAGCCGTATTGCACTGATGATGTTTAGAAGCCATCAATATGGTTCTGTCAGTAAAAACAAGGGTTGGATGTTTGTCAAAAAAAAAGAGAGTGGAGATGGTCTGTACTTGAAAGTTCATAGGCTCTAAACGATGTCTCAGCAAGAGTGAGGCAGTAAGTTTTAGTTCTCAAATTTGTTGCTGATACATGTGTCCTCCCCTGCAATGTAGAGTAAGGAACATTAGTAAATTAAACACATTTTTGACCCTCTGCCCCTTCCCCTCACTGGGAGTACTTTTTAGTGCAGTCTTACATTCCCTGACTCTTAATTGGTGAGAGAAATTGGAAACATTTCAAAGTTCCTTGCCCTGAGAAAATGCTCTCTGGGACATTAACTTCAAGTTCACACTTATTGCCAGGTTTGCTTTTTTTTGTTGTTGTTGCTGTTTTGTTTTGTTTTTTTTTTTTCCTTTTCCATACATATTGATGCTCACAAGAGTTTCAGGAGAGGGTTCTGCTGCAATTGCTACTACTCCACTATTCCTCTGGGGCTTCATGGGACTCCAAAGCTGTGATCTTCAGCCATTGGCTGTGTGAGGACCTGTGCATAATGCTCTTGGCTGAGATACAGTCACAATGTTGGGTCATCTTAGGTGGTGCTTTGTCTGCCTCAGTTGTGGTTCTGTCCTTTGGACTTCAGATCCCAGGATAAATCAGGTTGGAAGGGACCTTTAGAACTACTCAGCCTCTTGCTCTGGTAGGATTAGCTGTGAGCTCCACCCAAGTTGCTCAGGCCCATATCTAGCCAGGTCTTGAAAATTTCTGTGGGTGGGGATTGTACAACCTTCCCAGACAACCTGTTCCAGTGCTGGACTTCCCTTAGAACCCTGCTCAGCAGGACTGCAATGCATTCTCACCATCCTGTCACTCCTACCATCTTCTTTTCTCATCCTTAGCCATGCTCTGAGGCAAACTGCTGTCCAACCCAAATGCCCAAGCTGCTCCTTCAAAAAAAGGGCAATCCTCTTCATCCCCAGGTCTTCCCCCTTTTCCTCCTGAGGAGCATGTCCATCCATCACCATCATCTTGCTGTTCCAATGTTGCTGTACCAACAGCATGAATTCCTCCCACTTGTTCCCTAGGGCTGCACACATTTGCATCCATACATTTGAGGCAGCTTTCATCTTTTTTATATTCTTGAAATCTCTCTTGTTCCCATCAGCCTGCATCCTTACTTCCAATACTTCCTCACTTGACTGGTGGTTACAGTAGCCCTCTCTTTACTGCTCACAGCTGAAAGCTGCTCTCACCAGCTTGGCTGAGTTACAGCCACTCATATGAACCCGATTAGGAGATTCAAATACAGCCTAAACATTAATTTCTGAAAGGATCTGGAGGAAAACCAGAGGCTGTAAATACAAGGTTGCCATGACAGAAAAGCGGCATACTGCACGCTTCTGAGCTAGCTTCGACTGTACTGTGGCATCTGCAGGGCTGCACAGCACCATATGGAGACATTGGTTCAGGTATGTGCCTTTGGAACAGGAAAGATAGACAAAGAATATTTCAATAATTTTGCCAATAAACACAGGTCTGTGTCGAATTCAGCTGAAGCAAGGTCAGGATTTCTAGCCTGAGCTGCTTTTGAGATCTGATGAATCAACAACCAGGAAGTTTTTAAAATGAAATCAGCCTGTTCGCTGGAAAACTGTTCCAAAGACTCTATCTTGCTTATCACTGAATTACCTCCAAGGCTCTTTTCTAGTACAGAAGTCTTCCTGATGCCATGGATAATTCGAGGCTGCTTGAAAACAAGGACTAAGATTCAAACATGGATTAAGACTCACACAAAGCTAACCTGGGCCTTGGAGGTAAACTCACATGCTCCTGAAGTTGCCTCCTTTGCCACTCCGACATGAACTGGGGATTAGATGATCTCCAGAGGTCCCTTCCAGGCCCTACAATTCTGTGGTTCTGTGTGATTCTGTGAATAGATGGTGCCTAGTTCTCTACACCTAACAGGCAGCTTGTTTGATGCCACTATGAAATCCTCAATTACAAGTGGATTTTTAACCACTTCTGAAATCATTCGGTATCGCTGTGGAGTACAGTTCTCTGCCAAGTTTGTTCTGCAGGAGGAGATCGCAGCAGGTGCTTGAATGCATTTCTCCTCACTAATTCCTTGTGGAATCTCTCCAGTATTGTCATTATCATGAATACTTCCCTTCCCTCCTACTTCTGTTTTTCCTGTCCATTCTCTTTTCACTGTTCCAGTGCTCCATCACCCTTAAAGTTCTTCTGCATATTTGTGTGCAACTCCCTATGTTCAAGTTTTAGGCCATTACCCTTTGTCCTATTGCTATACACTACCGAATAGAACCTGGCCTCATCCATTTGTCTCCCACCTCCCTTTAGTTATTTATAAATATTTATCAGGTCCCTTCTCAGTCTTCTTTTACCTAAGCTGAAAGATGTGGGTTACTCAGCCTTTCCTCATATGAGAGATGTTCTAAGCCATTTATCATCTTTGTGGCCCTATGCTGGACTCCTCCTAGAAAATCTCTGTCTTTTTTGAACTGGGGAGCTCAGAATGTGGCTGTGCCAAGGCAGAGTAGGGGGGGAGAACCAACTCCCTCAACCTGCTGGCCATGCCCTTTTTAATGCACCCCAAGATCCCACAAGGGCAAACTGCTGGCTCATGTCTAACCTGTTGTCCACAAGAACATCCAGATTCTTTTCCACAGACCTCCTCTCCAGCAGGTCATCCCATTTCTCTGTGTATAATCTGATTTGATCAATAAACAATAGTTTTTCATTCGGCCCATAATGTTTTGGGGACCAGCAGTGAATAAAGCTATATTCAAGGAAAGTGGGGTAGTATTTAGGGCATTGCACTTCTATTGCACTGCAACTTTCTACAGCTTGATCTCCTGCGTGGGTTGACTTTTCATACTGCCTTTTCTGTGGTCTACAGTGCCTACAGAGAGATCAATTAACTGGGCTTGGTGGGCCTCACCAATTCTTACACATGTTTTCAAGAATTTTGTTCATCTAAGACATTTGTCTAACACTATCTGTAGTATTAGAAAACAGAAATTTGGTGCAAACTCCTTGAGGCACTCGACTCTTTGAAAAAGATATGTTTTCTACTGTTATTATGGGAAACATTATGTTCAATTTGTTTTACAGAAAGCCTTCAGAGATGGGTTTTTGTTCCCATGCTGGGCTCTCTTGTGCACACAAATTTGTAGTAAATGTAAACAGTGCAGCCCTATATTGGAATCTTGCATGGATCAACTCCCAGAATATGTCTTGTAGGTATTATCATCGCAGCCCGATGGGGGAAGTCAATGCACAACTAATTACAAAGGCATCAGCTCCCACTTGTATTGCTCACTCTGTAGGGAGGAACAATTCCTGTATTTCTGTATCTCTTTTTCCTATGTTGGACAGAAGCAAAACTGCAGGAACTGCTGTTCCTGCAGAGAGGACTTTACATTAGGCATTGGATTGTTAGATGGAAAAGCACTATCATTTCAATACTTTCCATGTATTTACATCTAAACTTTGATTTTCTGAAGTCTTTTTCTAGGAGCTATCGTTGGAGATTTTTAGGGTGAGAGGAAGAACTGGAAGAATTCATATAGGTCTCATAGACAAATGGTAATTGCTATCCTATTATTCATCAAAAATAATCACATAGTGGAAAGAAATACATATAACAAACTGTCAATAAAAAGTAAAATGCTTTGTCTCTTTGAAAAAATTCCTCCATTAATTTTCTGTAGTCCTCTCAGTGATGCAGTGCTTTTATAAAAAGATGGGATTTGAGAGAGCATACTGAAATGGTGATCACAAATTAAATACATGCAACTGTGAGTAAATACTCTTACTGTGAGTAAATGCAGTAAGCAAAAAAGAAGCATCAGTGACTCCAACCTGAAATGGGATTCAGAGATTTAGTGACTCCAGAAATACAGTATAGAGAATGGCTTCGTACATCTTTAGGTGATTTGTACCTCCTTATTTTGAAAATTATCTCTAGACACCCAACAAAAGCATGTTTGCTCTAATTACTTGATACAGGAGCTTGGAAAGGAAGATCTCATTTGAAACGACCGTAATCTCTTTTGTGGAGACACTAAAGACCTTAGCTACACTAGCTCTGCAATGAAATCTATCTTTAAGTGGCTTTGCCTTGCAGTTGGCTTAGGAACTTGGAATATTACCTTTCTGAATTACCCTAAAAAACCAGTGCTTATAGATAGGACCAGACTTTCACCCTTCTCCCACACAGAATATATGCTTTTATGTCCTCTCTTTAGTGTAGACAATATTCTCAATCCCTAAAGTGTTTTCAGCAATTAATTTTATATTTCCTCTGGGAGATAACAAAGTAAGATGATCTCTGTGTTTCTTCAGTAAGTTGCTGTTCTTTTGTGATGTTGGAGTCTTCAGTACGATAAAGTAAACTATCTGGTGCTTTCCTTCCGCAGATGCAGGCAGTTTTTGTTGCATACTGAAGTGAGAATACATTTCCCAAAGCAATGGTTTTAACTATTGATCTCGGAACCCCTGATGGTCTAGAAAACTACATCTAAAGAACTTGCAAAAACAAAAAGCAAGAAAACAATGCTAAGAAAGCTGAGCTACATTTTGGCTAGCTTAAATTCCCGCAACAAAAGTGTTTATCTTTCAGGATCTTCCAAACAAAACAAAGGTTAAAGTGAGCACTATTGAGTTGTCATTAGAGATGGAGTATTTCTTGCATTCCAAGATCACTTTATGATTAATATTTTGTCCAAGTAAATGGTGATATGTGAAGACTATGTCACTCACAAAACATGGTTTCTGATGGAGAAAGCAGAAATATTTTTTGGATGTCTGACAAACTCTGAATGATATCTCTTAATGGTGAGAGAATTATTATTTTTGAGCAGACTATCTAAAGTTCCTGACCCCTGCCCTGGCAAAAAACTTGCCTTTATCCTTATAAACTATAAAGGCAGAATACAGACATCTCTGTTTGTCGTGATTTAGTTTTATCCCACATGTATAGGGTTACAAGTATGCGGCAGTTAGGCATAAGTGATATGATTTTATGCTCCAAATGCTGATAAGAGAGAAGCTTCAAATCACATAGGTTAATGCAGACTTCATTCAGAGACACCTAGTCAGAAACTCCTAGACTCTTCCAGATCCACCCACTATTGCTGCAGGAGTCTATAAATACTCAGGGCCGCCAGCTGCTTGCTCCCAGTAGGAATGGATGCCTTCCTCTGAAGTTAATCTTTCTGATTCAGTGGGGACCTCTCATTGCCAAGCCGACCCAGGGGCTTCTGAAGTCATCTGTTTGTTTTACCTGATCCTTAAGCCTGAGAAGGCAAACTGTTTGTCATCCCTATTCCCCATTCCCAGCAAGTTTTTTCCTCCAATAACAGCAGGACACAACCCTGACATTTTTCTCAGATGCAGAGATAGCGGATGATGATGTTATAGTGTGGCCACTGCCACTCCTCATACTTATGTAAGTATCTGGGGTGCGGTGAATGTTTTTCTCTAGAATCTTTATTCTGTTTTTCTAAAAAGATTGATGAAGTTTTTTTTTTTCTTCTTCTGGAGTTCAGTAAGCTGGAGCTTTCAAAGTTGTGCTTCGCTTGCTCCCATGTTTGTACTGGCAGAAAGCAGAATTTAAAGCTGAGCCTTTTCCTGCTGGGTGTTTTTCTTCTCTGCGATAAACAGAAAATATGCAGTTGGTGTCATGATAGCAGTAGGTGCAGGATTCAACTAACACTTCCCAGCAGAAAATTCCCTGTCTTGCCAGGACATGGAGGAGACGCGACAATGATTCATTTCTCTGATAACACAGCAGGAACACAGGTCCAATTGTTTGCTATGTAGGTCAGAATGGGGTATGTTGGCATCTCTGTTTGCAGACTTTACAAAGAAGTCTGGGAATGGGAAGCATTGCAGAAAAAAAACTGTGCTGCTAATACTTAAATTGTTCCCCTGGCAGAGGTAGGCTATAAACAATTTGCTGTGAAATACTTGCTGTCTAGCTGGCATAGCTGGCTGCTGTCTGTACACGAGGAGGTTTAGTTCTTCAGGTTAAACAGCTCATTTACTCTTTACCCAAGCTCTTTGATTAAAATCTGGATCCGTGTCAAGGAAAAGGCCCCTAGAAATACTCAATCATGCTGTTCCACTGTGACTACCTGACAACAGTTTATGTTCGTGGAGATACTTCATGTACTTAAGAGTCAGGGGAAATTAGCAGGTTACTTAGCTCTGGTTATTTATTGCATCTCTGTGCCTTTTAAAGTCTACAATAGTGCATCAGAAACCTGTTCATCTGTCAGTTTAGTTTTAACCTATCCAGTCAATGCCAGCTTCACCTATTGGCAGGAAGCAATGTTGGGGAGAATCATGTTGTTTAATGCATTGTAATGCTTTATTGGACGCCTCACTGCACATTGTCACAGCACGCCTTCTTGTGGGAGTCTGCTGGCTCTCCCCTGCTGTCTCTTCCTTCCAGGAAAGCCGTTTGCATTTGAAGATCAAGAGGTAAGCTTTTATTTTTGTCCCTGCACCATGGGAGGGAGCTGGGACTGCTTTCGTTTGGTAGCTTTGGATGACACCATCCACTCTTCAGAGCATGGAGTGCTTCTGCCTATTTCCCTCCAACCACCTCCAGCACCAGTTTCCAGGCTTGTTCATCGTGGTTCTTTGTTACCATCAGCTACATAAACAGAAACACCATAAATAATACTGCTCTATGCTCTACACCCGGGAGAAACCGAGACATGTATTATGCCCTCCTGGTCTGGGCACAGAATTCTTTCCTAAACGATGCATCTCCTTGATGCTGACTGTCAGATTCTTCTTGTAACACTGGGAGAAATGCACAATGCCTTATGGCATTGGGTGAGTGTGTTATGGCAAGGATTGCAGTCAGAGCCATGTTTGATTAGGCCCTGCATCGTACATAATTAAGGAAATATTTACTTTGTCCCCATACCTTGAGATCTGAATAGATTTTGAAGCAGTTGGAGGCAGTGTTCCAAGATCAGATCATACACTCATTTGTTTTTCTCAGGAAAGGAGGAAATAAATCCTGATGGCTGGACATGATGTTGTCTGATGATCCTACTTTTTCTTGGCATGTTTATTAGTACAATCTGGACTTTTTGGAGACTGTTCTCCTCCCTCCATCAGACCTAACCATTTATAGCAATTCTTTTCTCAGAGGTACAGTTAATTATTTTATGAAGATCTGTCTCGTAGAGGAAAAATAGCAAGTGAGGCAATAATAAATTTAAAATTAAAGATGTTAAATTGCAACACAATTCAGAAGGAAAGTGGGTGGTAACTGACATTTTTATTTCAGCCTCAACATAAGAATTTGATTTAATCTACTTTTTCTTATTGGTGAGGCTTAATCTAAAAAAAAGCTGAGGAAATTCTGTCTACCTGTCTACAGGTCAGTGCCCTCCTCCAGAGGAAAGCAGACTGAAGCCCTGGGCTGTATGATTGTGGAAGCACCTGTAGCTTGAGAGCTTTCAACAGAAGTCACCAACTGAAGATCTTGATTGTTACTGATTATGAGAATGGGCGTAAATATGTATAATATATAATATAAATTCCAATATTGGAAAAGTTTTTGGTTTGCACAAAATGCACTCAGATACAGTCCAAACAGAACACCAAGATCAGGCTTAGCAAAGCATCTGTATGTAAATGCAACTTGAATTTTCAAAGGGCTTCAGTGGTGAATCCCAACCCTTGTAGGCATCTTTGAGAAGCTACTGCCAGTATGAATGACACAGCAGTTTATGCTGGGAAGAAGAAACAGGGCATGTCTTCTGTGGAAGCATCATGCTGTGATGAACGGCCAGTAGGTCTGGTGAGTCAGTCATCCATCCAGGCTGCTCTTTGTTTCTGTAAATGAGTGTGTATCTGGGAGAATGGGAACTCATCTGGAACCTGAAAACTGATCCAAGAAATAGCTCAGTTGGTGCTGTGACAAAAATGTAATCATTTCAGATGTTCAGATGTGATGCTTTTAATAAAACAAGATATTATAACCTTGTTTAACACTGCTGCTACTGTGTGTTGCTGAAAGGAGTGGGAAAAAAAGGAGTGTAGATTATGAGATACACTTTAATCTTCCTCTTTTGATATCTGTAACGTAAGGATAAGGGGTAGGAGATAGGATGGAAAATGACCTTTTGGTAAAACTTTACCACTCAAACTTTAATTGTCAGCTTTAAAGATTGTATTTAAATATGAATAGCGTAATAATTAAGCTCTATTAAGCTATTTTATATGCATCTATTTAAAACAGAAATTTAAATAAAGCTATTTTTTAAAGTAGCTTATTAGATTTGGTCTGTTTTCTATTAAGATAAATGAGGTCCACCTTATTTTTCTCCACTGACACTCAAAGGTGCTGCTGACAAGATGGTCAGAATCCCATAAAGCTCAAGACTGGATTTCTGGCCTGCTCATAAAAATTTTCTTGTTCCTTCCTCACAGATACAGAGCAGTGTATATGTGTTTGTGGGAAAGCTTGTTGCTGTGACATAAAGCATATTGCAGAACTGGGGAATCGTTAAGGTTGGAAAACCCTAAGATCATCTTGTTCAACCCCAACCCATCACCCAGGCCTGCTAAAGCTAATCAGTGCCACTGATACCCCAGCAGTGCAGTTTTCAGAAACAAGCTCCTCTATACAATGGGCAAAATGTATTGAAATTTGCAGAACACTGTATTATAGCTCTGGGGTTAGTATGGCTTTTGCACCCCTTTGAATTTGGGTGTTGAATCAGAAGCAAGCTGTCATGGACTTATAATTTTTGATCTGTATTCCAGCACCTCCAGCTCTCCTACAAAAGGCCTGATTTTGCACAGCAGCAAGCAAAACAGCACTTTTGATGGAAAATGTAGGAGAAAAGCTGTGAACCGCAAGAAAGTCTATAGATAGTCTATTATAATCCCTCTGTCATTAAATATTTGGAGAACTGAAACAGCCTAGAACCATGGCATCTGTGGTGCATTTGTCACAGAACTAGGCTGAACTAGGCCAAACCCTGACACAAGCTCAAGGCCGTTCTGCTGCTAACATGGGCCCCCTGCATGTCAGCTGAATGCCTTTTTTCAGTGCCTGGCAAGTACAACATCTCCCCTCTTTTTTGTAGTTAATCAGTAAAGGCAGAGTAGGGGAATTTAGCTGAAAGGAGACTGGGGAAGCCTGCAGCTCCCCTGCTCCTGCTCAGGCCCTGGTCAGTTGCTGGGTTCAGTTCCAGTTCTGAGATGCTGGGCTGGAGAGCTCTTTTTGTACCAGGAAATAGAAATTCTGGCCCAGAGAAGTGAGTAAATCCATTAACGTGAAAAGAGACTAATTCACACATTCACATCTCCTCCACGAACACTGTAGGAGTGTTTCTGTGCTGCTGGAGCCCTGCTGGGGATACAATACACAGCACGTTTTCT